AACATCTCTGGTCATTCGAGATATGCAAGTTAAAACAATGCTTACATTGCATCTCATCCCAGAAAGAATAGCTATTACCAAAAAATCAACCAATAACACATGCTGGCAGATCTGTGGGGGGAAAAAGGAATCCTCCTCCACTGTTGGTAGGACTGGTGTAACCACTACAGACATGGGGAAAAAAAGTAACAAGGTATATATGTACAGGTACAAATTCTGTATGATGAATGCTATTATTTTGTATATCTAAAATATTTCAATAAAAAAATTAAAAATAAATGTACCAATAAAAAGTAAAATTCTGTTAATCTAAACTTTTTTTTTGCAGAACCAGGGATTGAACCCAGGCCCTTGAGCTTGCCAGGGAAGCGTTTATTCCACTAAGCCATCTCCCTGGCACTAAACAACTAATTTGAAGACAACATTATGCAATACAGCAACCACTGTCTTTTTGTACGTGTGTGTGTGGTACTGGGGATTGAACTCTGGAGCCTGCGCTTGCCAGGCAAGTGCTTATTCTATTGAAACCATCGTCTAATTCCTAAAAATAAATAAATAAATAAATAAATAAATAAATAAATAAATTTTAAAAACAATGATTTCAGGCCGGAAAGATACCTTAGTGATCTAAGTCCCTGCCTGGCAAGCGCAAGGACCTGGGTTCGATCCCCAGTACCACATGTTGTGCTGGCCCTGGAATCCTGGGCACACAGTGCCACCCACCGAAACCAGGTGTGGTGGCGCACACCTGTAATTCCAACACAGGAGGCTCAAACAATAGGATTACTATGAGTCCAAGCTGTGTAGTGAGACCCTGCACCAAATAAATAAATACATATTTTTTAAAAAATGATTTCACACATACCCTAAGGTACTTTGAACAGAGACAGACACAAAGTAAGCATCCCATAAAAGCTGGCTATTATTGAGGCAAAAATGAGATGCTCTCTAAGAATCTGAAAATAAGATAACAATAAACATGAATTAGAACATATAAAAAGCTCCCTTCAAAAAAAAAAAAAAAAGGATAATGCTAGGCCAAAATTAGACTGGTCTTATTATGAAAATAAGACTTATCTCATCATGAAAATATGAACATAATATCAAAAAAATGTTAATAGCTGGGTGCAGTGGCACATGCTTATAATCCAGCACTCTGGGAGGTTGAGGAAAGAGAACTCTAAGTGTGAGCCCAACCTGGACAACTTAACAAGACTCTGTCCTCAAAGTGAAAAACAGAAAAGGCGAGCTGGACACGGTAGTGCATGTCTGTAATCCCAGCACTCAGGAGGCTGAGGCAGGAGGACTGCCACAAATTCAAGGCCAGTCTGGGCTACATACAGTAGTAAGATCAAGGTTAAGGTCAGCTTGAATTATACAGTATGATCCTGTCTCAAAAAAAAAGGAATATCCTAACATGAAGACAAAATATAAATAATGAAGATACTGAATTACTAATATGGCTGTAGTGGGCACCTTAGTAAGAGAGCTCTCAGTGATGAAGCAGTGGTGTAAGCATCATGGAGGAGGGTCCAGCTGGACACTGTCCAGGAAGGAAGGAGACCTGGCCCACATACTTTAAGTGTTACTGTCCCATGGACACAGCTACCCCATAATAGAGATGGAGACATCGGGTTCTTTTAGCCTGAGAGCATTAAACATTCCAGTGTCATAAACATCTCTTATCCCAACTCCATGCTCATTCGACACTTGATTACACCCTTCGAAGGTAGGTCACTCTGACAACAGTATGCTGTTATGTGCACCACTGTGAATTAGGGTGCGAACACAGTAGTTTTATACATTGTCTCTGCAGCTTGGCTAACAAATGTCCTCTCTGAGAAAGGGAAGCTTCCTCCAAATGCTAAGAAAATTCACCTTTCTGAACCATGTGGCTGAAGCAGACTGACGAGGTAATGCCAAAGTAATGCCCTTGAGTCATGCTGGTAACAGTGAGCCGCACCCCACAACTATCAGACGAAATGAGTTATCACCTCCCATTCCATACCTTAACCATTGCATCATTCTTTTTCTTCTTTTTTTTTTTTTTGTGGAACCAGGGGTTGAACTCAGGCCCGTGCACTTGCCAGGCAAGCACTTATTCCACTGAGCCATCTCCCCGGCCCTCACTGCATCATTCTCAAAGCCAGGTCTTCACTAGACATACCTTCTTCTCTTTCTCTAAAATCATCTGATCCTTCTGATGCAACATCTTCTTTAGAGTGGCCACCTCTTCCTTCAGCTGGGCAATGATGACAAAGTGATCAGTGCCTGGTGAGTCCAGAGCCAGGTCTGGGGAAAAGCTGAAGAGAAAATGGAAGGAAAAAACCTTCATTTGGACGGATAAACATCCCCACCTGAGGATGCAACCCAGGCCACTTGCTGGTGAGCTCCTCCAGTGCTAAGGTAACTAACTGAATTCTCAGAATCAAACGCATTGCTCCAGACTCTCAAGGACTAACTCCATTAGCTGCAGTGCACAGCTCAAGGGATCACCAAGACAAAGCACAACCCATTTCCATTCCTATCGCATCTTCTCTCCCATTCATTACTAAAATGAAAGCCACATCCCAAGAACCACAGGTACAGTTTAGGTGGACCAAAGACATTCGCTGATTTACTCGTGAAATAGTCATGTTACTGTTAGAGAACTTCCCTAAAATTCTGGATGGATTACAAATCATAAACTTCGGTATTTGGGGCTGTGCTCCAGAGCCCTGTGATGACATACAGTTCTGGAGAAGCTCCTGGATTCTGTCCTAGGAACAGTCAGCTTTTTTTTTTTTTTTCAGAACCAGGGATTGAACACTTAGGCCCTTCTACTGAGCTATCTTCCCGGCCCCTGGGTTTGTTTGTTTGTTTATTTATTTAATTTATTTTTTGAGTCAGCTTTTAAAAAAAAAATTTAATAGCAAGGAAGGAAACGAACTTCCTCTATGCTATAAGTGGCCTCCAGACTACTGTCTTGAGTATCAAGAATTCTGTGACACGTAAGTTAGGAAAAGAAGGGGAATTAAGCTCTAGAGTGACAGCACAGCCTGACTTTTCAACAGATTTCTCCTAGTCAGAGCACTGGAACGCTATTCAAATGCCAGAGGGATGTCCACTGAACTTTGGCAGTCTTATAAACACAGACTCCACTGACCTCTGAAACTATGGTATATATGTACAATCTTGCCTTGCCACACAATGGCTAAGTTTTGGGGTTAAGAGCCATAGCTTTCAATGGCTGGTCAAAGGAGAATCAGATCCAAATTAAATTAAAGAATCTCTACCAACAAGGTCAAATCTTGCCCTTCTCCAGAGAATTCCCAAAGGAAGCTCCTCTTCTCCCAGGACTATAGGATTATAGGTGAGCGCCCCCACATCCAACTGTACTAGAATATGGATTCTTAATTCCTTATGACAATATAGCAACAATTTGGAGTTTCCCTTTATAGCTGATTGGTTGATACATATATATTTGTATGTATTTATTGTAGTACTAGGGACTGCACCCAGGACCTGTATCTCCAGCCCACATTTTATTTTTAGCCAGAGTCTTGCTAAGTCACTAAATTGCCAGGTGAAGTTCAAACTCATGATCAAACCGGGTAGTGGGATTACAGGCATGCAAGGGTGCAAGAATTACAGGTCTGCACCACAGATAAATAATGGGTATTTCAGGTCCGGGAGATAGCTCAGTGGTCTACACGCCTGCCTGGCAAGAGCAAGGACACCACATGCCACGTCAGCCTTGCACTGAGCAGGCCACTAAAACCAGGTATGGTGGTGCACATCTGTAATCCCAGCACTGGGAAGGCTGAGGCCTGTAATTCCAGCACTGAGGAGGCTGAGACAGGAGGATTACTACTGAGTGATCCTCAGAGTCTGAGCTGACCAAATAAATAAATGATTTTTTAAAAATGGATATTTCAGATATAATACTAATACTTGCTATACAACTACTTAGTTAAAAACAAAATTTTGGTCTACATGACATTAAAAAGGATTATCAAAACACCCCAAAGAACTGCCAGAATGTTTTTTGCAAAGAGAATGAAAAATGGGAGAAAAAAATGTTCAAAAACTGAAAGGGATGGCAGCGTGTAACTTCTCTTGAGCAATTAATATTTAAAACAAACAAATGCATATAACAAGAATAGAATGTTAAGGTTCCAAATGCAGGAACATTCAAATACATTTTTTTTTGTTTTGTTTTGTTTTTTCGGAACCGGGGGTCAAATAAATTTGTATACTGTATGTATGAAGAAAATTTTTGTGGCAACAGAAAAATTTTTCCCAATTTTGAAATTATAAATTTCCTTCACAAGTTCATATGACATTTTGGGAGGAAATATCTTTAATTTAATCTTTTCTGGAGGATATCATAAAAGTCCACATACCTAAGTAAAGGATCAGCATCCTACATGAGAAGAGTCATTGCTAGTGGTCGGATGCAATAAGACAGTCTAAACTGAAAGCCTGAGTTTTAGCTAGACGAATCCATGGCAATGGACAGGAAGAATAGTGGTAATATTTGAAGAACAAAATAAGCTCATATAAACTAGAGAGCATGAATGAGCTTTTTCCAGATCATTCAAACACTGCCTGGATCATAAAGGAAGACAAACAGAAATGATGGATTTTTTTTTTTTTTTTTTTTTTAATGTATTTAGTTCAGGATCTACAGGGTCTCCCTACACAGATCAGACTCATAATGACCCTTCCTGTTTTTCAGCCTCCCAAGCACTGGGATTACAGGCCCCATCTCAATCACCATCTCAGCAAATCCTGGGGGTGGGGCCGGCATGGCAGGGTGGGGATCAAACCCCCAGCCCCTGTATCTGCCTAGGCAGGAGCTCTAATCCACTGAGCTATCTGGTCAGTCCAAAATGATGGACCTAAATGCACAGGTATTGGCTTGAATGCCTTCCCTTTTTGTTGTGTTGAGGCAAGACGTGCCAAGCTGGCCTTAAACATTCAATCCTCCTGCCTCAGTCTGCTGATGTTTCAGGCGTGCACCACTGTTCTGCTTTACAGTGATGGGTCTGTGGTCATATGAGCCAGCATGGCATGGGGGATCCTAAGCCAACAAGATACTGTTCTTAGACTAACTGCTGCCTCCGTCTTTCTCACTAATCAACCTCAATTTCCTCTTTTGTTTTTCATGGGCACTAAGTCTTCCCCAAACAGCACCTGTCACTATAGGGTACCACCCAAACAAACTCCACGCCCAACCCAGCCTAATAAAGTCTGTCTCTCTCAGAGGGTTCTTGCATCTCTCTTGTAGCCCTCCTGAGTTGAGCAATAAAGGTCTTCTTTACTTTTCTCCCACTTTTCATTCGCCCAAGGAAAGAACCTTACAATAGGTCATTCAAAAGTTCATTGCTGGGGCTAGTAAGATGGTTCAGTGGTCTAAAGCACCTACTTAGAACAAGCTTAGCAAAGCACAGGGACCGCGGTTCAATCCCCCAGCACCACATGCCAGCCAGTCCCGTCCCCTGGTGGGCTGAGCTGGACACAGACACATAAAGAAAGAAAGGTAGCCTTTAAAAAAAAAAAAAAATCATTGCTGGCAGGGTATTATGGCATACACCTGTAATCCAAGCATTTAAGATGAAATAAAACGATTCCAAGTTTGAGGCCTACTTGGGCAATTTAGCAAGACACTGTCTTAAAATAAAAAGTCAAAAGCTGAACTTCTCACTTCAGGATGCCTGGGCCTGGAGGAATAGGAAAATGGCATTCCCCAAGACACTGGCACATGCTTATAATCCCAGCATTTGGCAAGGTGAGGCAGAAGGATCACCATGAGTTCAAGACCAGCCTGAATTACAGAGGAGACCCTATTCTCAAAACAAATAAAAAAAAAAAACTTTTAAAAGGCTGAGAATGCAGCTCAGCAGTACAGTACCCCTAGGTTAGATCCCTAGTATCATCACAAAAACAAAATATTAAAAAGCCAAGTGTGGTGGTGCACACCTGTAATTCCTGCACTTAGGAAGCTAGTAGAGGATTAACACAAGTTCAGGCCAGCCTGAACTACATAGTGAGACCCTGTCTCCAAAAAAAAAAAAAAAAAAATCTATCCAGGTATCAGTACTTCAGTGTAACACTCTAAAAATGTTCACTAATAGCTTAGATTAACACCAAAGTACATCCTAAACCTCATTCCTATAAGAGCAACATGACATATAAATTTTTTTCCATTTATTTATTTGGCACAGGGCAGCTCAGACTCAATGATCCTCCTGTCTCAGCCTCCCCAGCACTGGGATTATGGGTGTGCACCACCACACAGCTTCTGCGGCACGCTCAGGGCGGGGCCAGCACAGCATCGGTACTGGAGCTTGAACCTGGGTGCTTGCGCTTGCCAGGCAGGCACTTAAGACATCTGAGCTATCTCCCCAGCCCCAAAATATGTATTTTTTATTGTGAAAAGTATTTGGTTTTGACTTCCTAGAATTAGTGCACAGGAGTTACCTAGTGAACTGTTAGTCAACTACTAAATTCAGTTAGTTACAAGTATCAAATGTGTAATGACAAGATTCAACTAATGAAACAATAAAACAGTGCTGCAGTATAGCACTCTGAAAAGGTTCAATGACAGCTTACACTAGCTCCAAAGCACATTTTATGTATATGTAAAATGATAATGAAATGAAAGTTCATTCCCACTTAGGAGGCAGCAGGAAGACTGCCTGAACCCGGGGCTGGTAAGACCAGTCTGGAGACAGAGCAAACTGCATTACATTTCATCAGAATGGTCAGAGTAGCTGCTCAGAAAAAGGTGACTGGAAAAATTGTTTCCCTTGTTGCTTACTTATGTTCTCTAAATATGTACACTACATATTTCTAAAAGGTTTAATGCTAGAATATTAAAATCAAACTAATTGTAAAGACACCCTATCTACATAGGATGTGAAATCAAGTCAATGAAAAACACAACAGGAAGGGTTGTCGAGATAGCTCAGCAGACTAAGTGCCTGCTTAGGCAAATACAGGGACCAGGGTTTGATCCCTGGCGCCACATGCCACACCTGCCCTGCCCCTGGGCAAACGAGTCCTGGTGTGGTGGCACACGCCTGTATTCCCAGTGCTGAGAAGGCTGAGATAGGAGGATTACTATGAGTCCAGCTGCGTTGTGAGACCCTGAAGGGTCTTACAAAATATGTAACACACACACACACACACACACATGCACACGCACACACACCAGGAAAGAGTAACTTCTCAGATACTTTGTAGTCTGGTAAATTAAAACAATTCAGCCTTGGTATGAATGCCTGCTTCTTATCCATCACTGGCTGGGAGGGTGAACTGTGAATGGAGTAGTTTCAGAATGGGGATGATTCCAAGGGTTTTAGGGCAGTGTGTCAGGTGATCTCACTTCAGGACGCCCGGGCCTGGAGGAACAGGAAAATGGTTGGCCCCAAGACGCTGTTGGGAAGCAGCCCATTGCACCAACATGGATGGGGCACTCTGCACATTAGGACAAAGCAGCTCGTAAGAGGAAGCATCGCTGAGAAGGAGAGAGGAAAGCGAGGAATAAAAAATGTGCATTCAGACAGGTTGAAAATGAAAACTATTCAAACCCCTCTCATTTTCTCCTGATCAAGCAAGTGCACTGGGCTGGCTTTCTGAATTCTAAGGAAGCATGGATCGCCCCCTCACAAACAGAACAACACTGCCTCAGTCCCACCTTGCCTCTCAAAACCAACTCCTGCTCTGACTGGAGAAGGCTGCAGGGGCAGATCACTGTGAAAAATATTTAGCTCTGATTTCCTATAATCAGTGCAGAGGGCTACCCAGTGAACTGCTATTCCACTGCTATTAAATCCAGCTAGTTACAAGTTCTTCGATTTTAATGAGAAGATTCAATTGATAAACAGACGACAGCTTAAACTAGCTCCAAAAACACATTTCTATAGGAACAACATAAACATTTCAAATGATGCATACACACACTCTAACTGACTCACCTGTCTCCATTAGTTGTAATTGACTCAAACTTCGATTTTTTCTTTGGGATTTCATTTTGAATTGAAGATGTAGAAAGTGTTTTCTGGCTTTTGGTAAGCAAAAAGAAAGAGACATTAGAAATCAAAGATTAACAAAACACCGCCATGAAAGTCTGTCAAGCTGGGCATATAGTTCAGTGGCACAGGGTCAGCTTCACAAGCACAAGGCCCTGAGTTCAACTCCCAGTACCAACAACAAAAGCCAAAAAAAAAAAAAAAAAGAAAGAAAGAAAAAGAAAAAGCCTAGCAAATAAACCAATGTAAAAGAAATAGTTGTTCTACACAGAGCCTGTACTTTCAGTTGCCAAAAATTACCAGGATGTTGATTTTGTAGGTTCACAATACATGAGTGGGTAGTTCCCATAGGACCAGCAAACATTCTTGGCTTTTAATAAATATTAGCTACTTTATTAATACACATGAGAACAGAATCGATAAAACTTCAATAAGTATAATCTGTCTTACATTAAAAAAGAAAAAAAGTACTTTCCTTTCACTGGTTTGCACACATTTCCCATGAAAAACATTTACCTCTGATTTCCTAGACTCAGTGCAGAGAAGCTACCTAGTGAACTGCTATTCCACTGCTATTAAGAGGTACAGAGATGGTACAGAGATGTTATTTCTACTTTGCTTCCAGAGACTGCGCTCATCACTAATTGACATACTCAAGGATATACACAGCCAGGTCATAGTAAAGCTGACTAGAAACTAGACTGATGCATTTAAACTCCTGATCTTCCTCACTGTATCCCTACGAACCTACTACAGATATCTGAGTCCCACAGTAAAATCAATTCTAGCCCCAGGGAGGTCACCTAAAACTCATCTTGATAGAAAAGCTTGAAGACTGTCTGATAACGCAATCTCTCATTTTGATGGATGTTCATTGTTATGGGCAAAGGGTTCTCCAGACCTTTCCTCACTTAACCTCTCTCTAGTATACAACTCCACCAACCATCCTTCTTGAAACTTTAATTTTCTTTTTTCAAGGGAATGGTACTGGGGAGATTGAATGCAAGGCCTTGAGAATCCTAGTCACATGTACTACTACTGAGCTATATCCCCAATCCTTTTCATCTTATTCTGAGACAAGATCAAAAACATGGGCTGGGGAGATGGCTCAGTAGAATAAGCACTTGCCTGGCAAATACAAGGGCCTGAGTTCAATTTCTAGTTCCACCAAAAAAAAAAAAAAAAAAAGACAAAAAGATCAAAAACATAATCCTACCTCAGCCTCCCAAGTAGTACAATCCCTGGGATTATAGCTGTCTAGTTTCCCTCCTACTTCTGTAAGAGCTAATTCTTAATTCTTTGTCCATCTCTTAAATACTGAATGCTTCTAGAGTTCTGTTCTCAGCCCCTAGTATGAGTTACATCATCCAAAAGCATGGTTTTAACACAAGATTGGACATGGTGTCACCCAAGACCACCTTCATGAAAATCATCTGGGATAAGGATAAGCACAGTGGTGTATGCCTGTAATCCCAAACTTGGGAGACTAAGGCAGTAGGACTGCCAACAGTTTGAAGCCATCTGGGCTACACAAGGATTTCAAGGCATCTGAACTACACAATGAGACTGTCTCAACAAACAATCTTTGCAAAATGATACAGATTCCTGGACTCTATCCCAGATCCTACTTAATTAAATTCTAAGATATGCTGCAGGAATTTTTTTTTTTTTTTGGTTTTGTTTTGAAACAGGATCTCATTATGCAGTGCAGTCCAGACTTGAACTCACTATGTAGTCCAGGCTGGCTTTGAACTCAAAGAGATCCTCCTGTCTCAGCCTCTCAAGTGCTGGAATGTGTGTCATGCCCAGCCAAGAATCCACATTTTTTTCTCTCAGAACTGGAGATTGAACTCAGGCTCTTGCACTTGCCAGGTAAGCACTTATTCTACTGAGCTATCTCCCTGGCCCAAAATCACACTTTCTTTCTTTTTTTTTTTTTTTTTTCTTTTTCCAGTTCCAGGAATTGAACTCAGGACCTTGCACTTGCCAGGAAGGCATGTAAGCTGCTGAGCTATATCCCTAACAATCTACATTTTTAAATAATCTTTATTCCCAGTGATTGTTACACACTACCAATTGTTTATGTCCAAATTTCTCCTCTGAGCTTTAAACTAAACTCCTATATTTATTCTTATTGCTTCAAACTTAGCTTTTCAAAACTAAACCTTTTTTCTTCTCCTACTCCTTTATTTTTTCGGTTAAGGACCTACTCCTGTTGAGCCAAATAAAAAACCTGGGAATTATCTTTTGCCTTGTCTGACTTTCTGAAGTAGTTAATTTTTTTTTTTTTTTTTTTTTTTGCGGAACCAGGGATTGAACTCAGGCCTTGCACTTGCCAGGGAAGTGCTTATTCCACTGAGCCATCTCCCCAGCCCCTGAAGTAGTTAATTATTATTGCCTCTCATGTTTGTATTAAATTTATTATTATTATTATTATTATCATTATTATCATTATTATTATTATTACTATTACCACCCATTCTAGACTGGGTTTGAACTCACTGTGCAGCCCAGAATGGCCAGGAACTCCCAATCCGCCTGTCTCAGATGGAGCTACAAGTGTGTGCCCCAACGCCCAGCTCTTACGCCTGGATCTCCCAGGTTTCCACTGTGGCGCTCACTGCATTACCAGTGCAGGTGGAGTGACATGACTGCCAGTCTACCTCTAGCCAACTGTACACTTAAGAGCAGCATGACACTTTTATTCATCTCTGTATTCCTCGCAGAGTCCCTGGGCCCTGAGGATTTGTAATAATTTGCTAAATAAACAAAGTCATAATGATAGTAATAAAAAATAACTACAATGTACGGAATATTTCCCTATATGCCACTTATAAACCTAATTACTATGTATGTATTATATAATTTATCTTCACAACAACCCTGTGGCAATACCAATATTTCCACCTCAGTTATCTTTAAGATAAACTTGTCTAAGATTTGCACAGAGAACTCAGCAGAACCAGGATTCAATTTAGAGTCACAGCTTTTTTTTTAAATCTCTTACTGGGGGTTGAATCCAGAACCTCCCTCATACTAGGCAAGGGCTATGCCAGTAAACTACATTTCCAGCCTTTTTTTATTTTGAAACAAGTCTTACTAAGTTGGCCTAGGCTGGGCTTGATGCAATCCTGCCGCAAGCTCACGAGTAGTTGGGATTAAAGGTGCATGTCACTGGACCTAAAGCACAGCCAAAACACTTGATACTACAGTTACTCTGAAAGGAAGCTTAAGTCATCAGTCAGAGACATCTTTTAACTGGATCTCACCCTGACAAACCTAGGACACCTATTAACACCCTGAACAAATGCATATTTAAAAAGGTGCATCTCAAGAAGCCAAGCCTGGGTGTAGTGGCATATGCCTGTAATTCCTGAATGGTGGGAGCCTAAGGCTAGGGGAGTTTAAGCCCAGACTGGACAACAGCTCAGTGTGAAGGTCCCGTGTTCAATTTCCAATGTCACACACACACACACACACACACACACACACACACACACACACAGGGAAAGAAAGAAGTACATGCCTCAGAAAGTGAAGTATCCAATTTCTTAGAGATACCCCACTCTAAGGCTAGGAACACTGTATATGAAGTAGAGTAAGTTCTAAAAATCCAAATTGTTCTTATACACTAGGAGAGGGGAAAAAAATGGAAAACTTCTATGAGAGGCTTTTGCCAGAGCCTGCCTGAGCCTTCCCTCTCACCTACCAGCACCCCTGGCCCAGTTCATGCACCGAGGTCACCTGTTATAATGGCTGCCACCGCTCAAGCGGCTGTACTGTTCCTTCTCCTGGTGGCTGGCCCGAGAAGAGCTGCCCAAGTGCTTTCTCTGCTCTTTGGTCTTCTGAAGGACACGTTTGTATGAAAGTGTACACAGCCAGCACAGCAGTTTCCCATCTACCTGAAAGACAAGAGACAAAGAAGAGGAGATGCAATGGAGCAGCTGAGTGTGAACATTGGAGCCAGAACCTCCAGGGCAAGTTCCAGCTCTGCCATTTGTGGGCTATGTGACCTCGATCAAGTCAGAGGACTGCTGCAAGGATTTAGTGACATAAGGTACAGAAAGCACTCAGACCAGAGCTTGGCACCTAAGAGTTACTTCATAAAAACAGCGGGTGGGGGGCTGGGGAGTTAGTTGGGGTCGGGGAGTTAGCTCAGTAGAATAAGTGCTTGCCTGGCAAGCACAAGGGCCTGAGTTCAATCCCCGGTTCCGAAAAAAAAAAAAAAAAAACAGCGGATGGGGTTGGTACTGGTGACTGAAAGCAGGGTATTGTGACTTAGGCAAATCTACCACTGAGCTGTATCTTGAGCCCTTTTCTTTTATTCATTTATTTATCGGGTACAGGGTCTCACTATGTAACTTGGACTCATGTCAGCCTCCCCAGTGCTGGAATTAAAGGAGTATACCACCAAGCCCAGTTTCAGTGGCTGGCAATGGCATGCAGTGCCGGGGACTGAACTCAGGTCCTTGCGCTTTCCAAGCAGGCATTTAGACTGCCGAGCTATCTCTCCGGCCTCCTTGAGCCCCATTACCACAAAAATAAATAAATAAATAAATAAATAAATAAATAAACAAACAAGTCAGGGCCTCACTACATTGTTCAAACTGACCTTGAATTCGCTATGTAGCTGAGGCTGGCTCTGAATTTGCAGCAATCTCCCTATCTCGGTCTCCTGAGTGCTGGGATTACAGGCACGCATCACCACTTCCAGCTCTAAGATATTTATCTTGGAAACAAAAGCCTTTGTTCCTCATCCTCTGCCAGAGACAGGCACATCCAACCTGCATCCCACTGTTTCTTTGGCCTTGAGTGTGTGTGTGTGTGTGTGTGTGTGCGTGTTTTGGCGGAACCAGGGCTTGAACTCAGACCCTTGTGCTTGCCAGGGAAGCACTTATTCTACTGAGCTATCTCCCTGGCCCTTTTGTGTGTGTGTGTGTGTGCGTGTGTGTGTGTATGTTTTGTTTTTTGAGACCAGCTCTTGCTGTGTAATGCAGGCTTGCCTTGAACTCACTACGTAGCCCAGACTTGCCTTGAACTCAGCAATCCTCCTGCCTCAGCAGTGTTGGAATTACAGGCATGCACCACCACACCTGGCATCTTCTCATTTTTAACGCTACCATTTCTATTTTAGTAGAGCTATTCCCATCTCTCACTCCTGCAAGAGCTGCCCAGAGATCCATCTCCTACTCTTGGGGCCGTAAAGCCACTTCCACATAGCTGCTAAAGAGGACTCCTTAAATCTGATGATATCCTATCTCCTTAGCACCCAAGGATTTCTTTATGTAGCTAGCATCAAATCCAAACTTTTTTTTTTCTCCAGAAATGGGGATTGAACTCAGGCCCTTGTGCTTGCTAGGGAAGCGCTTATTCTACTGAGCTATCTCCCCGGCCCTCAAATCCAAACTTTTACTGTGGCCCATGTGACTTAAATGTAGCCTATACCTGTGTCTGTAACTATAAGCTCATTTACTTTTTCTTCCTCTTGTTCATTTTGATATTCTTCTATTCTTCCCATGTACCAAGCTCATTGTTGCCTTAGAATCTTTGCATAACTAATTGGTCCTCCCAAGTAACTGGGATTAAAGGTATGTAATAGCACATCTGTATCCTCTATGTCTTTATTGCATTTACACTGAAAACTTGTGTTTAGTTATCGTCTTTGTCTTCACCCATTTCTCTCTCTCATTACATATAAGCCCATGAGTGTCTGGGTGGTCCTATTTGTTTAGTTCATTAGTGTACATTACAGCTTGTGTGCTACATGTTCCTTCAAAGCCTCATGCAGTTATAGGTGGTACTTTTTCTAAGGTGGCTGAATCTAGAGTATTGATGCTGCGATTACGTGTGTGATGCTACGATCAAGGGTGTGATTACTAAATCCGTCCTCCGATTGGTTTGGCATAGCTCTGGGAGTCATAACAAGAAAGCCCTCCCTGGGTGTGTAAACTGCTTGCCCTAATAGCCTAGATAGAAAAAGGGCTGCTAGGGTCACTTGTTTTTTGTTACCTTCTGCCTTTTATGAACTGTTTCTCCTCTGTGATTCCCCTCTGCCATGTTATTCTGCCTTGGAGCCAGCCAACTATGAAGTGAAACCTCTACAAACGGTGAAACCTCTACTACCTCCTTTAACTTTGTGTGTTGGGTATTTTGTCTCAGCAACAAGAAAAAAGTAACTAAAGACAATGTATTTTCACTATCTAAAACTGAGACTTGGTTTTTGTTTAATGAATCTATAAATGAAATTTGAACCCAAATTTCAATCTGGTTCATATCATGGTTATGCATATGTGTTTATATAGCTTGATTTATTTTATATTTTGGGAGGGACTGGGACTCGAACTCAGGACATCACGTTTACCAGGCAGGCACTGTGCTACTGAACTATATCTACAGCTCCTATAGCCTGATTTAAAAATACCCAGAGGGGGCCTGGGGAGATGGCTCAGTAGAATAAATGCTTCCCTGGGAAGCGTAAGGGCCTGAGTTCAATCCCTGGTTCCACCAAAAAAAAAAACAAAAAAAAAAACAACCCAGAAGACTTGCACCAGAGAAGAGGCTACAGTCAAGAAAGACTTCTTAGCTAAGCATGATAATGCATGTAACACTTGGGAGGCCGAGACAGGAGGATTACTGTGAGTTTGAGGCCATCCTGGGCTACGTAGTGAGGTCAAGGCCAGTCTGAACTATATATCATGATAGTGCTACATTGGGATGACTTTGCCACAAAAAACAAAAACCAAAGCAAGACTGGTGTGCTAGCACACACAAGTTAGACATGTTGGCACACACCTGTAGTCCCAGTACTCCAGATAAAGGCTAAGACAGGAGGACTGCTGTGAGTTCAAGGCCGGCCTGAATTACAAAGTGAGACTACCTCAAAAAACAAACAACAAAATATAAAAGAAAGCAACTTCACTAAAAGCGTAAGCACTGAACATGAAAACTGCAGATCACAGAACACTTTACTTCAGCTCTCTGCTTTATATTTTAAGAGATAATTCCTCTGTGACTAAAACTATCAAGTATAACCAAAGAGAACAATGAATGACACATATCATGTACCAGATTCCATTCTAAAGGAGTTACACATAATAGCTCAGTCTAACAACTCAAGCTATCTGCACTTACAAATGAGAAAACAGACACTGACAGGTTTACTCACTCAGACTCACAGCTAGTAAGTGACATAACCAAGCACATTAAGAGCCCTGCATTAAGCCCAGACTCACATACCCCACCCCCACTCCTACCACCAGTATTCAGGATTTTGTTTTGTTTTGCTTGTATGTGTGTTGCTTTTTTTTTTTTTTTTTTTTTTTCCCAGAACCGGGGATTTAACTTAGGCCCTTGTACTTGCCAGGCAAGCGCTCACTCTACTAGCCATCTCCCCAAGCCCGTGTTGTTTTTTTTAAGTCAGGGTCTCACTATGGAGCTCAGGCTAGCTTTAAACTCAGTAAGTAGCCCAGGCTGGTCTTGAATTTGTACGATTCTCCTGCCTCAGCCTCTTGAATGTTGGGATTACAGGAGTGCATCACCATGCCTAGCTCAGTACTGAGGACTGATCACAGGACCTCAGGTATGCTAGGCAGATTCTGTCACTGAGCTACTTCTCTAGTCCTTTAAAAATTTTATTTTGAGACAGGGTCTTATCAAAGTGCCCAGGCTGGTCTTAAATTTGCAACCTTTCTGCCTCAGCCTCCCAAGTAGTTAGGATTATAAGCATGCACCTCCGATCACCCACTCTCTGTTTTTTCCACTGTTTAAAATTTGTGCATACTAAAAAAAAAAAAAAAAAAAGTGCATACTGACTATATACAAATTAAGGCATGGGATATAGCTGAGCAGCACAGCACCTGCCTGGCAAGTGCAAGGTCCTGAGTTCAATTCCTGGTACCTACAATAACAACAAAAAAGACACCTCCATATACAGATTAATGAGTTACAGGTTGGCAGATACCATACTTTAATTACTCCTCCACCCCACCCCTACTTTCACATGTTTTTGAGAGAATTTCAATGTGTATAATGTATTTTGATCACATTCATGCCCATTAGATCATCCACTCATAATCCCTTTAGTCCTCCTCGTCTAAAGTTTATGACCCTGTGACTGAGGATTCTGAATATATCCAGACCCTTAGGACAGGATGACAAGTAAACTACACCAAACAAATAAAAAAAGAACACTTGAATTCCAGTATAACTAGATAAACAAAAATTAGCCATTATAATTAATAATACAGGTATTACTTATTTAGTTATATAACGAGCCAGGCTCAAAAGTAATTGTTTTAAAAAAAGAAAAAGTGGGGCTGGGGAGATGGCTCAGAAGAATAAGCGTTTGCCTGGCAAGTACAAGGACCTGAGTTCAACCCCCAGCTCTGCCCAAAAAAAAAAAAAAAAAAAAGTGTTTTATATAACTTTTATTAAACCTATCCACATTCCTATAAGTAGCTAATTTATTCTCAATGGGAAAAATAAGAAAACTGCACATGAGAGTCACTTGCCCAGGGTCACTCTGCCCCAGCAGGGATGAGATGTAGGCCAAGGGAACCATAAAGCTTGAGCTGTTCCCCCAGACCTGGGTAACATACTATCATAAGCTGTTTCTTTGATTATTCATTCAGCTTCTTCAGTATCTTGATTCTGGGAAAGATAACCTGGTTGGCAAGAAGGAGTACTGGAGTATGCTGGTCTGGTCATGGGAAACTCATAAATTATAAGGGAATCCATTATAAATTAATGAATATGGTTAACAAGAGTCAGGCCTTGAAAGCCTAAATACCTCTGAAAAGCACCTCTGGGCACTGAAAAGGAGTTTCTATACTACGTTCTTGTCTCAGTCAGGATTTTGGTATGTAGGCAGGCTGACCTCAAACCTTCAATCCTTTTAGGGCTA